GTGCATGGATTGTACCATGGTCACAGGACGGTGCGTGTATTGTACCATGGTCACAGGATTGTAGGTGCGTGTATTGTACCATGGTCACAGGACGGTGCGTGTATTGTACCATGGTCACAGGACGGTGCGTGTATTGTACCATGGTCACAGGAAGGTGCGTGTATTGTACCATGGTCACAGGAAGGTGCGTGGATTGTACCATGGTCACAGGACAGTGCGTGTATTGTACTATGGTCACAGGAAGGTGCATGGATTGTACCATGGTCACAGGAAGGTGCGTGTATTGTACCATGGTCACAGGTAGGTGCGTGGATTGTACCATGGTCACAGGAAGGTGCGTGGATTGTACCATGGTCACAGGAAGGTGCGTGGATTGTACCATGGTCACAGGAAGGTGCGTGGATTGTACCATGGTCACAGGAAGGTGCGTGTATTGTACCATGGTCACAGGACGGTGCGTGGATTGTACCATGGTCACAGGAAGGTGCGTGGATTGTACCATGGTCACAGGAAGGTGCGTGGATTGTACCATGGTCACAGGAAGGTGCGTGGATTGTGCCATGGTCACAGGAAGGTGCGTGGATTGTACGATGGTCACAGGAAGGTGCGTGGATTGTACCATGGTCACAGGAAGGTGCGTGGATTGTACCAAGGTCACAGGACGGTGCGTGGATTGTGCCATGGTCACAGGAAGGTGCGTGGATTGTACCATGGTCACAGGAAGGTGCGTGGATTGTGCCATGGTCACAGGACGGTGCGTGGGATTGTACCATGGTCACAGGAAGGTGCGTGGATTGTACCATGGTCACAGGAAGGTGCGTGGATTGTGCCATGGTCACAGGAAGGTGCGTGGATTGTGCCATGGTCACAGGAAGGTGCGTGGATTGTGCTATGGTCACAGGAAGGTGCGTGGATTGTGCCATGGTCACAGGAAGGTGCGTGGATTGTGCTATGGTCACAGGAAGGTGCATGGATTGTACGATGGTCACAGTGTATGCACTGCATTGTCCCATGACTACCAGACGGTGTGTGCTGAATTATAAAACCCTGGCAGGATGGTGTATACACTAGGTTGTATCTATCCTATGAGGGTGTGAATGTTATATCACATCAGTAGATTGGCACTGAGCTCTTGCTGAGACTGTGATCCTTGCTTAGTCATGAATCTATTTTCATACAATAAAGCCCACACATTTCATCTAGAAGGATCCAACACACACAGCCAGTAAACAGCAGGGGACTAGATCAGGTCATTGCTACAGCTGGATGGTAGGAATTATTCATAAGAATTTTCTCCAGTAGAAGATCACTGGACAGGTGTAGTATGTTTCCATACTTCATCAGGAAGATTTTCTTTTTCATGTTGGAATGTAGCCGTGCTTGCCGAGTTCCTCTGCAGCCCCAGCCACCAGAACAAATGCATATTGGCATCATCCGTGTCATTCCTGAAGCATGATGTACATTGAGCATCATGGAAAATAGTTCTAGACGGGGAGCGGGTGAGGTACCCCAGCTTCTGTATCCTGGAATCCTTAGGGAACGGCCCAATGGTGATCTCTGCCTGAGAACAAGGGCCTTCAGAACAGAAGGGCCAGGAGAGCATTCTATCCCAGTGCACCATCTCTGTCTACAGCTGTCCTGTACTACAGCCCCATCTCACAGCCCAGTCCCGATGGCTGGAGGATAGAATTATGTGATGGTATGGAAGGAATAAAATTCTGCTGGATGTGTTCCTTCTTTTTACACGAATATGTAGGCAGGTATAAACTTTAGGCCTCCTGACTTTAATCATGTATTTTCTCAATGAGAGGAAGATGGGAAGCAGCTCATCAGTTTATACCTAGTATGAAGGGGGCATGTGGGTGGGCCAGTTACCTGCGGGGGCTTGAGACAACTATTAATGCAGATCCTTCTGGTTGCTGGGATGGCTGAGTGCTAAGGAATGAGCACAGCCGTGGTCAAAAGTTTAGAGAATGACACAAATATTAATTTTAACAAAGTCTGCTGTCTCCGTTTTTAAGATGGCAATTTGCACATACTCCAGAATGTTATAAAGAGTGATAAGAGATGACTTGCAATTAATTGCAAAGTCCTTCCTTGCCATGAAAATTAACTTAATCCCCAAAAAAAACATTTCCACTGCATTTCAGCCCTGCTAAAAAAAAGGACCATCTGACATCATATCAGTGATTCTCTTGTTAACACAGGTGTCAGTGTTGACAAGGACAAGGCTGGAGATCGCTCTGTCATGCTGATTGAGTTAGGATACAGACTGGAAGCTTTAAAAGGAGGGTGGTGCTTGAAATCATTGTTCTTCCTCTGTAAACCATGGTTACCTGCAAGGAAACGCGTGCAGTCATCATTGTTTTGCACAGAAAGTGATTCACAGAGAAGGATATTGCTGCTACTAACATTGCATACAAATTTACCTTTTATCAGATCATCAAGAACTTCAAGGAGGGAGGTTCAATTGTTGTGAAGAAGGTTTCAGGGCGCCCAAGAAATTCCAGCAAGCGCCAGGACCGTCTCCTAAAGTTGATTCAGCTGTGGGATCGGGGCTCCACCAGTGCAGAGCTTGCTCAGGAATGGCAGCAGGCAGATGTGAATGCATCTGCACGCACAGTGAAGCGAAGACGTTTGGAGGATGGTCTGGCATCAAGATGGGCAGAAAAGAAGCCACTTCTCTTCAGGAAAAACATCAGGGACAGACTGATATTCTTCAGGTGGTACAGGGATTGGACTGCCGAGGACTGGGGTAAAGTCATTTTCTCTGATGGAATCCCCTTTCTGACTTTTTGGGGCATCTGGAAAAAACCTTGTTCAGAGAAAAAAAAGGTGAGAACTACCATCAGTCCTGTGTCATGCCGACAGTAAAGCATCCTGAGACCACGCGTGTGTGGGGTTGCTGCTCAGCCAGGGGGGCGGGCTCACTCACAATTCTGCCAAAGAACACAGCCATGAATAATGAACGGTACAAAACATTCTCCGAGAGCAACTTCTCCCAACCATCCAAGAACAGTTTGCTGAGGAACATTGCCTTGTCCAGCATGATGGAGCACCTTGCCAAAAGGCAGAAGTCATAACTAAGTGGCTTGGAGAACTAAACATCAACATTTTGGGTCCATGGCCAGGAAACCCCCCAGACCTTAATCCCATTCAGAACTTGTGGTCAATCCTCAAGAGGAGGGGAAACGACCACCCCACCCCCCCCCCACCCCCCCCACACACAAATTCTGACAAACTCTAAGCATTAATTATGCAAGAACGGGCTGTCATCAGTCAGGATGTGGCCCAGGAGTTGATTGACAGTATGCCTGGGAGAATTGCAGAGGTCTTGAAAAAGAAAGGCAGCACTGCAACTATTGACTCTGCAAAATCTTCATGTCATTGTCAGTAAAAGCCTTTGACGCTTCTGAAATACTTGTAATTATACTTCAGTGTACCAGAGTAACATCTGACAAAAAGATCTAAAAACACTGAAGCAGCAGGCTTTGTGAAAATTAATATTTGGGTCAGTCTCAAACCTTTTGCCAGGGCTGTATGCTGTATGCGTACTTTTCCTGCTAGTTATACATTGATGAGCTGCTTACAAGCTGTTATGTGCTTCTTGTGTGCTCTGTGTTTCTTGTGTGCTGCTCTGTGTTTCTCGTGCGCTCTGTGTTTCTCGTGCGCTCTGTGTTTCTCGTGCGCTCTGTGTTTCTCGTGCGCTCGGTGTTTCTCGTGCGCTCGGTGTTTCTCGTGCGCTCGGTGTTTCTCGTGCGCTCGGTGTTTCTCGTGTGCGCTCTGTGTTTCTCGTGCGCTCGGTGTTTTGAAGAAGATTACATAATCTGCTATTGATTTAGATATCTCTGTGTATGTCCTGGTGTATAGATTAGAGCCCTGCTTCCAGAGCCACCTGTGTGTCTTACATTATCCATTCAGCAGATTTGGGGGAGAGGGGTGGATACCACTACTAGCAGTGTCCTCTACCTGGCTGTGCTGTGTGGCAGAGTTGTGCTGTATATCCTGGCCTGTCTAATTTCCTGTTTAAAGGTAGACTTTGTGAAAGTTGTCTTCGATACTAACCCCCTGATCACACCCAGGCCTAGAGATAGGCTGGTCATGTAGAACAGGGTTCTCCACACTGTGGCCCATGGGCCAAATTCAGCCCACTGCAAGATTGTATGTGGCCTCTGATGTAGGAGAGGTCTCATGATGAGGACCTGGATGTAAGGGATGTATGAGGGGACTCTCATGAAAGGGGGAATTTGATGGGGGGCTCTGATGTAAGGGGAACTTTGATGAGGACTCATCTGATGATGGACTCAAGTTTTTTAGTTTCTTTGCTTTGTTGTAGTGAAGTGTATTTCTTCTCTTGTAAATCCTATCATGTATATTACAGTCCTAGCAGAATGTATGCCTTCATTTTATTCTAAATTGTTTGTTTATAAAGCTGGTTTTTGTCCCAGGAATATTAGTAATGTACACACAAAAGTGTGGCTGTGGCCCCTGATACAGAGTGGGCCCTCACTGGACACTAATACTGGGGATGCTGAGCTGTGAACTCCTCTTGGTCCATGACATGTAAATCATGAGAGCTGGGATCCCAGTGCGGTGTACCACACATCACTCTCTATTTGTCCTCTATGTGCTGGTGACATGGTATAAATCCACAGTGCACTGCAGACCCTAGCAGTAGATCTCCAGGATCGATCAATGAATTTGTTCTATATTCATCCATCACCACCTTCCCTCATTGGGCAGCATAACTTCTGTCAATCTGCTGCCATCTGCTGGAACGTTTTGGTCCTTGCATCAGTATGACATACCCCAGGAATCCAATGAAAAGTGTGGGCCTGAACAATGTGTTTGTCTCTAGTAGTCTATTGAGATTCCAGATGTAGCTTTCCTATGGCTTGGCAGGTCAGCTCTTTGCAGCTACTTCTTATGCACAGCTCTTCTCTGACTATTACTTCTCTCTCTCTCTGCAGATCGAATGAATTTGATACGATAGAGGCGTTATGGATGTAGAGTCTGCTTACAGCGAATTTATAACGTGTGACCGAACGGGGAGACGCAACGCAGTGCCTGACATCAAGGGAGAATGCAGCTCAACGGGGGTGAGAGACCTTTCAGAGGACATAGGAGACCTGTCCATTCAAGGAGCAGGTTAGTTATCCAAGCTTTGTAGAATGGTGATTGTGTTGTCACTGGAACAATGTACTGTATTGCTGCTGAATGGCTCTTCTGTACCACTGCTGGTTTCCAGTCCTCTCCAAGAATCAAGGGTCAGGAGTACACGCTGTATTGTGACTAGAAAGACTCCTCTGACATTGTAGACCTTGGTTATTCCATTTACAGAGGACTGAATCCTACCATCCCTGCCTTATTCACAAACAGTGTATCTGGATGAAACATACAAACTCCATGCAGATAGTCAGGCCCAATGTATAGAATGTTACTGAATACGGATAGGCATACATTATTTTCTGTGTCATTTTTGTCTTTCAAAACTGCCAGAATTCACAGCATCATAGCAGATTGTGTAACATGCGATCTGTTTATTTTAAAGAAGCCCTAAACCTAAAGGTAACATAAAAATATGATGGCAGTCTTGGGGGACAAATATGTAGTAACAGAAGGGCTTGACATACTTACCTGAAGAAGATACTGCACCAGGTTGGCTTGAGTTTGGGGCGCTTGGTCATGTGATTTCTGTGGCACCAGGTTGGCTTGAGTTTGGGGCGCTTGGTCACGTGATTTCTGTGGCACCAGGGTAGCTTGAGTTTGGGGCGCTTGGTCACGTGATCTCGGTGTCCACAGGTTGGCTTGAGTTTGGGGCACTTGGTCACGTGATCTCGGTGTCCACAGGTTGGCTTGAGTTTGGGACGCTTGGTCACGTGATCTCGGTGTCCACAGGTTGGCTTGAGTTTGGGGTGCTTGGTCATGTGATCTCGGTGTCCACAGGTTGGCTTGAGTTTGGGGCACTTGGTCGTGTGATCTCTACAGCACCAGGTTGGCTTCAGTGGCGGAACTTGGCCATGTGATCTCTGAGACACCAAGTTGGTTGAGTTTGGGGAGCTTGGTCATGTGACCTTTGCTACACCAGGTTGGCTTGAGTTTGGGTATTTGGTCACGTGAACTTGGCTGACAAGGAACATCAAACCTCAGATTGACTTGTCTTTCTCTTTTAGCACAGATCATACAATCAAAGTGCCTCATTGTTGACTAAATGTGAGAGGATTTTTGTCCTGTTTATTTCAGTTCAAGATTGAGTGCTGATACCCTTTCATGGGGGATCAGTTTGTTTGTTTTTTTGGTCTAGGTTTTTCCTAGTGAAAATAAACCTCCTGTTGTGTCTTAGGGCCTGGAAGTGAGAGGAATATGTCTACCTAGGCCCAGACAGCAATATATGGACCATTATTAGTGGAGTGAGGAAGGTTTTGTGGGGTTTTGTTGCTCTCTGTGTCCCCATTAGTAAGAATTGCTTACGTCCTCTAATATAGTGAGGGCACATTTCTCTAATGGGGTCGCAGGCAGCATTAAAATGCTGACAGAGGATCTAACTGTTCCACATTCTGTCCAAAACCAAAAGATACATTCTGGCTGTAGTTCTGCCATTTACTGTATGGAAAAGGTGAGCCCAGTTCTTCTTCAGGAACAAGGTTCCAGTCCACTACGCATGGATAGAAGTTTTGTCACACAATGGTGCCGAGGGTTACAGTGATCAGTTCTCCATCTCTGTCTACCTCTTTCATTCTATAAAGTCATTATTAGATTCAAGAAACTGGACGATTTCTGTAGGTGGTACATTTGATTAAAAAGGGAACAGTTTAGAGGAGATTGTATTTCGTTACATAGTTAGTCTGGCTGAAAAAAAAGACAAAAGCCCATCCAGTTCAACCATTTAAAAAAAAAAAAAGTTATAATCCTATACCCACCATTGATCCAGAGGAAGGCAAAAAACCCAACAAAGCATGATCCAATTTGCTCTTGCTGGGAAAAAATTCCTTCCTGATCCCCCGAGAGGCAATCGGATATTCCCTGGATCAACTTTACCTATAAATGTTAGTATCCTATTATATTCTGTGTATCCAGGAAAGAATCCAGGACTTTTTTGAAGAAATCCACTGAGCTGGCCAGAACCAACTCTTGAGGGAGTCTATTCCACATTTTCACAGCTCTTACTGTGAAGCAGGGGCGGACTGACAACTCATGGGGCCCCTGGGCAATAGGGGATCATGGGGCCCCTGTGTCCTTGTCCAAACTCAAAAAAGCCTATGAAAAAGGTACCAGGGGCATCTCATGGGGCCCTCTACTGACCCCGGGCCCTCGGGCAGTGCCCAAGTTTCCAAATGGTCAGTCCGCCCCTGGTGTGAAGAACCCTCTCCCTGTTTGGAGATTAAATGTCTTTTCCTCCAGACGTAAAGATTGAGAATTGAAATGACCTGTTTGTATATAAAGAAATAACTGTCACTTTACAGTGCGTACAGGCAGGCAGTCAGTCAGGCATGCAATCACTGGAGGCCCAGCTCTTGTGTTATAGCCATGTGTAATGGAAATGTATGTATTATTGAGGCTTCATGAATGTGAACCTGTATCTGTTTTTCTAATTCCAGAAGGACAAGCAGAGGCAGCGTCTTCTGACACCGGGCAGGAGCAGAGCCCCAAAGCACAAAGATGGTAGCTCGCCGTCATGAATTACTTATGTCTTGCAGACATCCATACTGACTTTCCTAGAGAAAGAGACCATTGTGAACAAGCACCAAACGGTTTCTATGGGGCTCCAGACTGAAGAGGACACTGGATTCCGCTAACTCAGCTCACGCACATGCCCACGAATGTAACCGGGATGCATGATTCAAATCTGCCACCTCGTGGCCAAACTTGCTCATTGCATCTCTTCAGTCTCCACCTGACCAAAACTTGCCTTAGTGATTTTAGCCCTTTATAGAAACGTAAACCAATATGCAAATACATAACCGATGCGTGGTATTCTGATGACGGTACTGCCCACTTATCCTTTCTGTTTTCTAGGGAAGCAGATATTTATTGTAAAACTTCAGAAAGTGATTTGTCTACTTCTAAACAGTTTTGGTGACACACTGCCATAAACCCATGGAGGACAGCCAAGGTACAGTGTGGTGGTATGAGGAGACTATGAGCAATGCCTTACGGAACCAGAACGGACCAAACTGTGTACTGACACCAGGTACAGATGTCCTGTGTATATTACCGACTGCCAACTCTATGGTTTTTTTTGTTTTGTTTTTTTTCTTCAATCCACCTTTTAGAGCTATATATCTGGTGTAGAGCTTCTGTTGGCTCTACACAGAATGGATGGTTATTACTTATATGAAAAATGGTGTGTTTTTTTTTTTCTTTTTAAACCCTTTTTTTCTTTTATTTTGAAAAGTACACTTCTTTTCCCCCAGTTATGATTTTGTGTGGATGAATAAACACCATGAAAACATGAAGGATTGATTTGTGATTCTATATTACTAGTGGGACTTCAGCTGTTTGTACCTGTCGTGTGTGTGGGGCGGAGTGAATCGTTATACACATAAAGTTGGTAAATAGAGAACATCCAATGTGTGTTGGGGAACTTTGGCCTCCTTCGGGGTTCTTGGTGCTGTGTTTGTGATGTCATGGAACCATTTCCAGGTCTTTGGGTTGAATCGTGTCAGTATGTTTACCATGTGGAGCCAAGCTCTTTATGTGGGGACTGTTGGCAGCATCCTCAGGTAAACTGATGTGTTGCTGCTCTGCAAAGAGATGGAATCGCTTGTGTTGGCTTTCTTTTTACCAGTAGAAATCACTCAGAGACTGACAATAACTGACGTTTATTCAAAGCTTGCAAGTAGAGCAGGAAATACATGAGTTATACATGATGTTTGCAGTACATTGTTTTATCTTAGACTTTATAAAGCAGCTGGCCTAAGCTAGTTAATGGAGGACTACAAGTCCCATCATGCTCTGCTAGCTCCTGGGATTGGTGATTGCCCAATGGTCATGTCTGCAATACATAATGGTGTCAGGTAGTAAAGTGTCTGGACTGCACATAGCCGGCAATCAGATTTCACCTGCCAAAAGAATTTATTCAGTGGCTTTGTAAGACCTGTTTATATATGTTGTGTGTTGTCTTCAAAAGCTGCAGCATGTGTACAGTGAAAGCTAGATCAATGGCGTGTGCTTTGTTTCATAGTCCTTGTGTGAGCTGCAGCATAGATCGCTCCAATTGGGATGCATATAGGCAGGACGCACTGACAGGTATGAGTAGATGGAGGCTGTGGTGTCAGTGCAGCAAGCAGCAGGTTTGTAAGTGGCTGACAGAGATTATACAGAGCACTGTCAGGATTCCTGATATGAATCAGTGACTCACGAAGATGAAAGCCAAGTTCAAATGTAGGTCTGCCATGGCGGCTCCCATACTTCTATCCTGACTAGTTCCCTTTATTATAGCGGAACACTCACTTAAAGAACACCTTTAGCCAAAACTGAACCCTGGTTCATCCCCCTGCCTGGTCCTTCTTGCTTTATGGGTGCCCCTGCCTGGTCCTTCTTGCTTTATGGGTGCCCCTGCCTGGTCCTTCTTGCTTTATGGGTCCCCCTGCCTGGTCCTTCTTGCTTTATGGGACTCCTTTGGAGATGTCTTCTCTAACTGAGAATTCACAGGTTGGTTACACAATAAATCAGCTGAAAAGCTCGTATTCCTTAGGCCCCTGTCACACTACCCCGCTGTGGTTTCTGCTCAGGGTGCAAGTGCAGCATATCCTCGGTTTTCATGTGGGTTTCCCATACACTTCTGTCGGGTGTTTTGATGTGTTTTCAGAAAGCGCATCAAAAATGCAGCATGCAAGACTTTTGGTGCGCTTTTAGAAAATTCACACTATAATAGAAATCTATGGTAAAGTTTGGGTAACCTACACAAAAACCGCAGCTACACTGCAGAGAAACCACACCGGAGCAGTGTGAAGAGGCCTTATCGGGGGATCAGGAAGGAATTGTTTTCCCTGCAGGAGCAAATTGGGTCATGCTTTGTTGGGTTTTGTTATGCCTACTTCTGGATCAACTGTGGGTACAGGATTATAACTTTTTTTTTTTTGTTTTTATGGCTGAACTGGATGGACTTTTGTGTTTTTTTTCAGCCAGACTAACTATGTAACTTATGGGCTCACTACACTCCAAAGAAACCACACCGGAGCAGTGTGAAGAGGCCTTATGGGTTCAGGGTGGTGGAAGAGGTCTCCAATGGGGTCCTAGAAAGCAATAAAAGGACTACCCACTCTACCTGGAACAAAGAATCAGTTTTGGGTACAGTTGTTCTAGAATCCCATGCAGAATAAGCTGTCACAAATATGTTGGCTTAGCGGTTTCAAAGATGAATTCCAGGTATGGTGTATTTTCACATAGATATATTGGAACAGGCTAGGCCATTGTACCTATGTATATACCATACATAGACATTGCTACTCCTGTCATCTCCACTTGCATTCAGGTCCCGTGCAGAGCCTTTGGCCTGATGCATTGTGAACACAAGAGGACGGCTGCTCAGCAGGTGCCATTCAGAGTATGCTTTGCATGTGCTGAATGAATACAAACACGTTCTTGAGCTGGAGAGGCTGAGCGCTGACATTACACTCTCTGCCTATTCCAATCGGAGAATTTTTCCTATCACTGAGCAGAGCATTCTTGAATGGCACCAGTGCTTAGTGTCTGACCTCCTGTGTTCACAATGGGTCAGGCCAGCTGCTCAGCACAGGACCTGGATACAAGTGGAGATGACTGGAGTAGCAATGTCTACATCATTAGTTTCCAGCTGGCAGGGCCATTGGCTAGATATGGTATTGACATAGTTACATGGCTCCAAGGTTGACCGCCGTAACAATATACCACACCTGGAACTCTTCTTTAAAGCATGTCTTTCACTTACTGAAGCTCCAACACTATGCAATGAAAATCTATGTAGTGCTAACTGCCAGTAAATGTTGGCCTCACTTCCCGGGTCAGCAGAATGAAGCGGAACCAGCCGATTGGCTTAATACCATAATGTGCCATTCTTCGCATGGTACAAGCTGATTGGCCAGGCTCCCCCAGCTCAGTCTTCAGCCAAGGTAAAGGACAGCGGGGCTGATTGGGAGGTAGAACCAAGCTTAACAGCATTACAGGAACTGGAGCCCCATATTGTGCCATCCCTGAGAAAGAGGTAGAAGAGTGAATGCAGATATTTTTATTAATGCTGTAGATTATTTGAACTAATATTCTACAATTTCCAAGCCAAGCTTTGTGCGTATCTTCTCATCAGGTCCAGAAGTATTAGAAATATTTTGTGTATTCAATACAAAATGGTACAAGAGCAAGATTTAGATAAGCAATTAGGACTGATGCCTGAGTTTATCCCACAGTAAGCCACCCATAAACAAGCCAATTCACCTAGGCTGAGTCCATTTGTGACAAGTACAGGGCTGACTTGGCCTGTCACACTGCATTGTTACTGGTGACCGCATTCGTAAGAGATCAGAGAGAAACCGGTGAGGTTTTCCTTCATTGCTGCTCCCTTGCTGGAGAGTGATGCACAATACATGCAGGGAAGTGTTCTTGTCTCTCTATAGCACGGGTGTCAAACTGGCATCCCTCCAGCTGTTGCAAAACTACAAGTCCCATGAGGCATTGCAAGATTGACAGTTACAGGCATGACTCCCAGAGGCATGATGGGACTTGTAGTTTCGCAACAGCTAGAAGGCCGCCAGTTTGACACCCCTGTGCTCTATAGCAATCCTGCTCTAGAGAACTGCCACCAGTGACAGGATTACCAGTGTGACATGGTCTAAAATGCCTGAAAATTCTAGATCTTGGTGATTGCTCCAAAACAATAGGAAGAGTCTCTGTCATGTGTATGTACATTGGGGCCATGGCATGCTGGGGACAGGACTGCGTTGCACATATCGCTCTCTCATTGGCTGGATGAGCAAACTTGCTGATGAGTAAATATTCTGCAGAGTTTCTGTCTGTGGTAGAGCAGCAGATCGTTCATCTGGACAGTGAGTGTGCAATATGTGGAAGTAGGTGAGTATATGCTCCACATAGCAATTGTTGAGTTGTCACCAGTGGTAGGGTCACTAGTGGGTCGTGGCCACACCAGATGATGTTTGTATTACTTCAGCACTCTATATTTGGCTACCCCATCTATCTCATGACAGGTCTATTTCAAGACCAGCTCTGAGAGAACCATTACTCTTCATCAGCACAAATGGTTCTTTCACAGCTGGCCTTGAAATAGATGAGGATAGCCAAATCGGAGGTATTGAGATGACAGCAGATCTCAAGTATTTTCAGTAGAGGTCAGCAATGACACCATCTAAGTTTCTCAATTTCTACAGATAACTCCATATCACTAAATGCTCAGATCTTTGTATATAAGAGAGTCTATGATTTATGAAGAGCTTGTCTTTATTGTAAACACTGAATTTAATACTGTATTTAAAGACACAAGTCTCCCATTGGAGGTACACATGACAAATCAGCACCTTTAGGGTGAACCAGAATTTGAACTAAACCTTCTGTTTCGTTTTGGGTAGAATATGGAAGGATAAAAACCTCTATCAGGTGTTTTTCGTTCTGTCTGCATCTGGGAGATTTTACCATCTATGATCAGTGTCAGACAGAACAGGAAGTGAACACAAATTCCTCCTTTGGGGGGACACAGACTGACAGGAAATCCAAAAGGTTCTAAATATCTCCCTCTCTACTAGTTCCTGTGTCCCTATAAATGAAATTTCCCCACATTTCCAGTCTTGGTGACCAAATAAGAATTGGGAGGAAAAATTCAAATGGTGGTAGATGCATGTCACTGAAGACCTGAGAGAAGTTCTATCCCTTCCTACTCTATCCAAAACTAAAATAAAAAGGTTTGGTCAGGTCAGGAGGAAGGAAGAAACTGTCACTTTGTTTACTTGCAAATAAAGTATTCTAAATATAAAATGTTATTTGCAAGTATTAAAATAATATTTCCACAGTTGTGGTTAGAGTTGCCTCTTTCCATAGAACAGTTGACCTGATTGCCAAGATAGATTTTGTCTGTTAGGTCTTAGAAAATAGATTTTCTCCTCTACTTATATAGTATAGCACTGCTAGGAGAGATGTTGTAAAGCAATGACTGTCAACCTTATAAGCTCTTAACAGTGACCCCAGAAATCGCCGCATTATTAGTTCAGTATCTGTATAAGTAATGCTAGCGATGACTCGCTGAGACCACAGACAGATTAGAGGGAATGGTGGTCAGAGAGTAGGACATAGAGGAAGTCATGATCAAAGAATGTGGATGGACTACTGCTTGGGAGGAGTACACCCCGCAGAAGCCTGCAGGTTGGGAGGAGTACACCCCGCAGAAGCCTGCAGGTTGGGAGGAGTACACCCCGCAGAAGCCTGCTGCTTGGGAGGAGTACACCCCGCAGAAGCCTGCTGCTTGGGAGGAGTACACCCCGCAGAAGCCTGCTGGTTGGGTGGAGTACACCATGCAGAAGCCTGCTGGTTGGGTGGAGTACACCCCGCAGAAGCCTGCTGGTTGAGAGGAGTACACCCCGCAGAAGCCTGCTGGTTGGGTGGAGTACACCCTGTAGAAGGCAAGAAGGGACTAGTGACACTTTACATGGGGCTAGTAGGGATTATTTCTAATACCCCCTTATAAATACATGCTATCACTCTACTACAGATTGCTGGGGTTGAAGGGCCACACAAGTATATGAGGGCCACCACAAGTGTCAAAAGGACGGCTTAGTCCAGAGGTTTAGTCAAGAGCCTGGTCAACTGGAAAGAGGTAGCACTTAAATAGGCATTTTTGGCAAAGCAAGTCTAGGAAACATCCCTGGTGAATTAAAAGTGACAGATCACCTTTAAGAATCTCCTGACCTTGTCTGACCCATCTATGAGAACGCATCAGGTGTGTTTGACAATGAATTGTGCATATTGATGGTTACACCCACCTCCTAGCATGAGGAAGGAAATGTCTATTGGTACGATAAGGCTGTAGTGAAATAGCAAATAACCTGATTGAAATACATTTGGAGTGCATTTAGGAAGACCTGTGTTGGTGAGAGCTCCTCTTCAGTTTAACATATTCCCACCCGGCAGCCATGTTTTAAGGATATCTGCCATGGCTTCCGTGACTTGCTGTACAGATATCCTTAAAAGGTGTCTCTGTGGAAGAGTAGACGGCCACGGTGGGGCTCACCCATTCTGTGATGTCACCTTCAGAGCCCAGTGGAGAGCACCATGCCATAGGCCCCATACAGCTTGTCCAGGAGCTGCTTCTTCTCCTTCTCTGGTAGGAAGCTGGATTGGGCTGCGTTAATATTCTGCAAAATACAAAACCAGCATGCGTTAGAATTAAAGGTAAGTACTACATTTGGTCTATGAGGTTTCTTCATTTTTTTAATAGGCCTAATGTAATAGAGATCTTAAAAAGGCATAATAGGAAACAAAATACCCTACGAAAACGTTATATATGTGTTCAACCCCTCTCATATATTGCTCAAAGGCGTCATGCACACTGTAGCTGTCAGACATCTGTTTTACAGGCGCGTGTCTTTTTTTTTTTTTTTTTTCTGCCCCTAAACAACCCTCTGTTAGCCTATGCGTCCATGCACACATAGGCGTTTGGGGGAAGAAATCTGAACGCACCAAAATCGCATTCAGGAGGAGCTTTTGGGCAGAAGGAACACCTACCGCATCTAAACACACCTAAACACTAGCCATGTGTAGCCCTTGAGCATTTTTTCCTTCAATGGCCAGAATAAACTAATATTAAAAAAAAAAACAATCGTCCAAGCACTTGACACTCCAAAAAGGGCATATTTGAAGCCGTTTTTCTCCTGCTAGGAGAACAGCCTTTCCAAAAAGCCCCATTGTGCATGAAGCCAAAAGGTAATATATTCTCTATAAATCTAATAACTGGTTACACTGGTGTATTATAAATTCTACATGTTTATAGTTCTCTAAAGAAAAAAACTTCTAGAAACATCTGTAAATATAACATAGGGACCCATACTATCATTACACATTCAGCGCATGCGCTAATGTCTGCAAGGATACATACTGTATTATATCCAGTGATATTCAGTATCCGCAATAACTATTACTATCATTTGCTCAGGAACTGTGAATCAAACCCTGCCAGGTTTTTTTTAATCACTTTTCATCCTTTGTTGTATCTCGGGACTTCTACTTTGCAGCCTCTTTTAGTAACTTGCTGCCTACATCATTTCTCAGAATCGGCTTCCTGATGATGACAACGGCGGACCGTGACCTTGAATCAACACACCACCTATAGTCTCTGTCACATGCGCTTTGGGTAGGGTGACAACGCAGGAGAGCAGTGTGGAGACAGGGACAACATGTTGTCACTCTAACCGTGAGGGCCTGAACAAGGACCTTCATGGCAGGATCAGCAGGTATTATTTTAATGAAAGCTGTAGATTTAGGATTACTGGAAATTACTTGAAACATGTTTAAAGCTGATCATAGTAATTGGTGTCACATATACTTTGTTTTTTGCATTTAAAAAGTTCCTGTGTTGTATAGACACTATTCATAAAAAGGTAATTTATTAATATATTAAAAAAACAGTATATCAGAGAGCAAGAAAGGGTAACATGTCTACACACACCTCAGTCTCCCATTAAATATAGACTGGATTTCCAGATATTCACATATCAGCCTACTATAGGTCAGGACTGCTGGAGAACGTTGTGGAATGTTCTCTGTAAACCATATGAATAATCTATGAGACTATTTGTACTCTTACATTTTCTCACCCAGACATTCTCATCATATAGACTCTGAGGATACAAATGGTCTCTGAAATATTATACAATGACCTTTATGAATAGTGATTATACACTTCAGGAGTTCTAGAACTGGAAAAAAAAAACAAAGACTTGGAAACTCAATTGTCAAAATCTCTTACAAGCTTTAAAGCTGATCTCCAGGTTTTATTTAAAGAGTAACTTTTGTTGAGAAAAATATACATTTCCCTCTGGGCCATCTATGGACATTGCAGGGACTGAATCTGTGTCCAGAATGCCTCCAGGCATTGAATTTTACAGAAAATGAGAATGCTGCAGATTCAGAAGTAAAGGTGATTTTTAATGACATTATATTACAATATGGCTTGTGTACTGAAACTTGTATATGATATATAATTATTTTTTTCCCATGAAATTGGAGTTACCCTTTAACTTTAGTTTGGGCCAAACAAACTATTTCCTTCACGAACAGTTGCAATGGCTGTGTGCACTATATAAACTGTATGTCTCCACTACATACAGTGCTGTGGTACCGGGACTTTCTATCCCTCTGCAGGAACAAAATCAAGTTGTCCTCCGAATGAATACAAAGCTTGCTCATCAACCTGCTATTCTGCCTCAGCCAATCAGAGGAAGCTTTGCATTCATTTCTAGAATACAAAGCTCCCTGTGACTGGCTGAGCAGTGCCCAGGTCGAATCGATCTTGTTCCTGAAGTCGGACAAGAAGGTCTGGTCCCCCTGCCATGACACAGCACTGTATGTAGCTGAGGTTACATACAGTTTATACTGCACTCCCAGCTATTAGCAAAGGAAATGGTTGTTCGGATCCAACTTGGTTAAATGAGACCAGGAGATCAGCTTTAACATGTTAATACCATATCAAACGTCTTTTACAATCTGCAGCTTTGATTAAAATAATACCCGACAATCCTGCCATGAAGGTCCTTGTTCAGTCACTTCCTGTTAGAGGGGGACAATGCTCTATCCCTGTCACCAATCAGTCCTCCTGCATTGTAAACCTGTTACATGGACCCTTGGAGGAGACTACAAGTAGCTATGCTGCTGTTCATTGTGCAGGCATGGTCTACCAAATAGGCCTGAGCACTGCTCATCCATTCTCAGGAAGCTTTGTATTCTTTTAATATGAATGAATACAAAGCTTCCTCTGATTGGCTGAGGTGGGCAGATGACAAGACAATCTGAGAGAGCTTTGTATTAATTCAAAGAAAACAAAGCTTCCTGTGAATGGCTGAGCAGTGCTCAGTCCTATTTGATTTTGTTCTGAGAGTAGGATGGGAAGTCCCCATCCCACTGCCAGAACACAGAGCAGTATGCTGTATGGAGCAGAGGCTACAGAAATGAACTATTTAAAAAGGTACAGTACACGGAGTAAGTGCCCGGTCATACTGGCGCGATTTAAGAATTGAAATCGCATCTAGTGAATGTCCGTGTCTTAACGTGCGCTTTGCTGCAGCGTGATTTCTAAAGTAGTTCTTGCTTTACGTTTTCTGCAGTTTATTGTGATTTCACATACATAGAATATAATGGAAATCGTTGAGAAGTCGCAATAAAAAGTCTTCAGAAATCACAGCAGTGTGACCGGTGACTTAAGCTTTAAAGGAATATTCCACCTTTTGTAAAATTAGAATAAATGCAGCAATCTTTAAAAAAGAAAATGGGCACCTATTCATTCTTTGTACTCAACCGCAATCAGTGGATGACAGATGCAATGCACAGGCTCCTGTACAAACAAATGGCAACTGCCCCAATTTATAACTGGCCTTGGCAGCAAGGAGCACATGGAAGGGTGATGCCAACAAACAACAAAGAAAAATTCTCAGCTCAACCTACCAACCAGACTGTCTAACAGTAAATAGAGGTTTACTTTGCACATTCATGCGTAAGCAGCACAGCCACTTCACGGCACCCCAGTATTATCTGCAGTCCTAACTCTATAAATTTGGAGAGCCTCCATAGTAAGGAGCCTGTGTATAATAATAGATAGATTGAGGGCAGGGAAGCCTGGAAGGAGCCCTCCCCTCCTTAAAGGCACAGAGGTGCACTGGATACCCAGCACATAGCACAATGGCAGTAAAGGTGTCCATCCCCTTACCAATATACCAACAGTACAAACAAACCTGTTTTTCATGTGAACTGTTAGACAGGACAGTTTGGTTGGTTGGTAAGTTGAGCTTGGAATTTTTGTTGTTTTTTTTTGTTGTTCTGTCAAGTGCCCCATCCCCTCAATACTTGAGCCCCATTGCGATCAATCAATGTGCTCAACAGCCTTGGCTGTCCCGGGTGTCTGCCTCCTCATTAGCTGACACAGCAAGCGGGAGTCATTAGCTCCTGCTGCAGTCAATCACAGCCAATGAGGAGTGAGAGGTGACGGGGCCAAGCCATGGCTCCCATGTGTGAATGGACACACGGAGCCATGGGCGGACTAACAACTCATGGGGCCCCCGGGCAATAGGGGATCATGGGGCCCCAGTGTCCTTACCCAAACTCGAAAAAGGTACCAGGGGTATCTAATGGGGCCCCCTACTGACCTTGGGCAGTGCCCGAGTTTCCAAATGATCAGTCCACCCTTGCACAGAGCAGTGGCTTGGAAAGAGCCTGCTCGGGTGCCCCCATAGCAAGCTGCTTGCCACTGCTGCACCCAGAAAAATCTTGAGTCTTTACAACCACTATAAACGTGATGCCCAGGGTACGAGAGGCTTTAACGTGTACTCATACAGTACTCACAATTAATGCATCAATCTGGCAAGTGGAACCAGTGCAGAACCTACAGCTGCCTTCACACCTCTCCATACATTGCCCATGAAGCAGAAGCAAACACTCGGCCTACTTTCCCATCATCACCCGATGTACACTTACCACTCGCTTAAACTCTTCCTCTGTGAAGTCCATGTGCTCTGCTACAATGTTATAATCCACGGCCAGCGTAGATCTGAAGATCAGAGGGTCATCTGTGTTCAGAGAGTAGTTGGCTTGGTCTTTCTTAAATCTGGGTGAGAGCAGAACTCTGGTTAGTGGACCTGTACAGCGTGCTTACAAGGGTTTCAGATTTGGTTGCAAAAATGTATTTAAAGCATTTTCTTGCAGTCATTTATAAACTGGGTGCCAGCCTACATAGCTATACCAAAGTATAAAATACTGGGCCGGGGCTAGGCAACCTTGGCACTCCAGTTGTGGAACAACAAGTTCCATGAGGCATTGCAAGACTGATACCCCCACAGGCATGACTCCCAGGGGATGAGGTATTGGGGAGTTTCTGCCTTCCTCTGGATTAAGTGTTGGGTAGAGATTTGTGTATATAGAGGTTTTCTACTGGTTGCATTAAAGGGCCTTTTGTCTCAAGCTGAGTAACTCTGTAACTGATGGAATTTGCAGTTTCACCAGAGCTGAAGTTTTACCCTAGGTTCACATCTGTGTGGGTGGTGCCGCTGCGGATCCGCACAAAAATCACCATCCGCACAGATAATTGCGGACCCGCGGGCGGGTGCCATTAGTTCTAATGGCACTCCACCCACACTGGGAAACACAACCATACTAGGAATCGAGGTTCCCGTGCGGGCTGCGTTTTCCAAAGAAGTGCAGAGACTTCTTCACTGCGTGTCACAGGCACAGGTGTCCATTAAAATGAATGGGCTCTCGTGCCCAAGCAAAACACGGCCTGCATGGCCGCATAGGTGTGAACCTAGGGTCAAGGTTGTCCACCACTGGACTAGACCCCCACGACCCTTTACCCCCAGCTTCTTCCAATAACTATGCCCCCTTGTTATCACATGGCAGAGCAGAAAAGTCATCACTATGCTGTGCCCAGCTCCACCATGACACATGCACTCATTCAGCACAATGTAATGATAAGTAACACTCGGGGGGAACTAATGGGCCATATACCCTCAGCACCATTGCAGCTTCATTATAGACCCTGGGCTGGCTGCTGTGCCTACAAGAATACTGCATCTATGTGAACACATGGAGCAAAGCTCCCCTCTGCAATCCTCACTCCACAAAATGATACATAGCATACCCCAATACTGGGTAGGGAACAGCATGTGCAATACATGTAGTTTACTTCGTATATTAGTATGTGTTGTAGTTTTCACAAGGTGGTTTTATACTGTAACAGTGTGCACATAATATTGGAGTTTTACTGCTAAGGGTAAGGAAGAGCATATTTCACACCCCATTTCCATCATCCCTATCTTCCAGAACCATCATATACTACCCACCTCTTTGTAACCATACTGTAAATAGCAGAAATCTGATTGGATGTGAAGCCTTATACCAGGTCTATGGGCAACACATTAGTTTAGGTGTTTAATGGCCAGCTATGGACAAAACCTTTTTTGTGTGTTTTTGATAGAGGTTTGAAATCTTACCACTCTATCAAGCTTTTAATTGCAATCTCTGTGGGAGCGACCTCCCTTGATGCCCCCGTTTTAAATAGTAGGACATGAAATTAAAGGAGGAATGACACCAGGACAGTAAGACATGGCCAGCAATAAATCCCTGACAGCTGTCCCCATCACTTGTCCTTGAGAATCCCGGACACCAAGACATGCAGAGAAGGTAAGTCTTTCCAATGCACACACAGACTGCAATAAACTCTAAGATTGTAACCCAACCCATGATTAGTAAGAACTTGTACAGATCAGCAACTGCTTATCACAACACTCCTCCTCTCATTTATCAAAGGAGCTGAAAGAACCATCCAGAGTTCTCAGCAAAAGTCAACCTGAAAATCACGCCAAATACAAAAATCTGAGGAGCTGCAATACAGCCACCTAGACAGTCCTTCTAAAAATGAGCATACAGGGGGTGATATTGTGTGTAGATGACGGGGGGTGATATTGTGTGTAGATGACGGGGGGGTGATATTGTGTGTAGATGACGGGGGGTGATATTGTGTGTAGATGACGGGGGGGTGATATTGTGTGTAGATGACGGGGGGTGATATTGTGTGTAGATGACGGGGGGTGATATTGTGTGTAGATGACGGGGGGGTGATATTGTGTGTAGATGACGGGGGGTGATATTGTGTGTAGATGACGGGGGGTGATATTGTGTGTAGATGACTTACTGTATTACAGGATGTTTGGTAAAATCAGGATCACAAGCGCCTGTGAGGTAACTGGACCACGGACATGTCTGTAACAGAATGACACAGTACGAGTGTTACACCCATCACTTCCTTTACAGATTAGGAAAATAACACGCAATATTTCTTTGGAAAAGGGTTTGTTTATCATACATCCATCAGGTGGGCTTCAGCATGGACAAAGCAAATCGCGTCTTTCCAGTCCTTCAACTACCCCCCCCCCCCCCTTATCTTTAAAGCGTAGTTGCACTTTTGCAGCCATATTGGGATAACACCTTTTGATAGTTGTAATAATCTTCCCCTTGAACCTCATCAGTAATGTTAAGGAGGGTTGGGGAGTTCTATTTACCATCGTTAACACTGTCTGTGCTATGCTGTAATTGGCTCCCTAATTGCACACTGGAAGCTATTCTAAATCACAGACATTGTCTATAGTGTTTTAGGCATACCCTGCACCAAAAAAAACAATTAGAAATTTTTTCTTTCAAAATTGTTTAGGCATACTGTGTGAAAAGGAGCACTTAAACATATAATTGGCCCCTGCCGGCTCTAGAACCAAGAACCAAGTGATCACATGACCACTGATTGCTTAGTTCTCAGTCTCAGCCAGTGAGCAGAGTGCCAGGGACTGTCAGTCATTGCTCTCTGCTCTGGCACTCAAGCACTTAATAGAGCACCAGGCTCAGGCTCTCAGTCTCAGCCAGTGAGCAGAGTGCCAGGGACCAGCAGTCATTGCAGTCCACCATTTAATAGAGCACCAGGCTCAGGTTCTCAGTGGTGTGCTGAGCCAGCTGCTGCTCAGGCATCTGGGTGCATCCTGACCTGAATCGGTAGTAAAAGTAGCAAACTCCTGAATTAAAAAAAAATGTGGGCCCCCCAAGTGGTTTAAGCCATAAGATGTTAGTATTCACCACATACTAGGATATTATGACAGACTTCCCTTAAAACAAAGCCTTCCACTAGCACACTGTTGGTGCTTCCATCTTCATCCAGTCTTCCTTCTTGGTTCATGTTCTCCAGCTCAACGGCTGGACTGTGGTGACGTCACTCAGTGTGCCTATGCCAGTGACGTCACACGCTGCTTCAAGCATGAATATCTCCTAAACACTGCACATTTACAAGACATTCACTGTACCTATAGGTATGCCTTATAATAAGTCAATAAGTGAAGTTTACTACCGTCTTAAAGTTAAAACAAAACAAAAAAACACTATCACCATACCCCTCAAGTCCCTGGCATCTACCAAACACTGAAAGGTTGTTTTTTGGTGATCCAACCCTTTATATCTCTTCTAGCTAGTCCGACATGTGCTGTGATCGAAGTCTGGAGAGACAGACAAACACACATCAGGCCTTACATGCACAGTGGGCAGCACGAAATGGTTAGCACTTCCGCCTGGCAGTACTAGGGTTGTTGGCTTGAATCCCAACCACGGCACCACCTGTCTGGAGTTTGCATGTTCTCCCTGTGCCTGTGTAGGTTTCCCTTGGGTACTCAGGATCCTACCAGCATGTCTTTGGAGTGTGGGAGGAAACCAGTCTAAATTGGCCCTAGTATGTGTATGTATGAATGTGAGTTAGGGACTTTAGATTGTACACCCCTTGAGGGTTAGGGACTGATGTGAATGTACAATATATATGTAAAGTGCTGCGTAAATTGACGACACTATATAAGTACCTGAAATAAATCAAATAAAATGTCCATAGTACATGGCTGACCTCAAAGTGCATGTTCCTGTTCAGCAGCTCCTTGTATAGGGTGGGATCGTCAATGGTGTGATATCCATGCCCGATTCTTTCTGCTTTCAGCACCTCCACTGCCTGCAATGTTCAAAGAGAAATCCACATTGAGAACGATTACTAGAAATAAAACCCAGAATAAAGGGAGACCTAAACAGTTGTCTATTTACCAGCCCAGGATAGAGAACAAAAGTCAGTTATGGCAACAGAGCCTCGCTGGTCCTGACCTAGACCCTATACACTGCATTTTATACATCGGACTGCTTTTATAAAAGAAAGAACTTGGAAACCGCTGAAAACCTGAAGAGGTTTTTGCCCAGATTTGACAAGCAGTCCGTTGCTGTGATGTTCTCACATTTTGAAGGCCATCTATTTAGATATGACAGTTTTGCTGGAAAACATGGATGTCAGCCCTTAGACTCCACAGAATATACTCCAACTGTATTGGTTTGTTAAACAGTTAATGATATTCTGATTGTGCGTCTTCATCGATTCAACACCCAGGAGACATGACAAAGGCCTGGAACCCTACCCACAGGGCTGCACTGCCCCGTTGGTCCTCTATGAACATTTCTCAGCTCTATTGTCTGCTTTTGCCACCATCCTACATCTTCCACACTGCACCGGGCTCCAATGTAAATGGAACCAAGTACTGAGAAAATGTAAGTGTGTGAATCAGGAGCAAAACATTTGACACCCCCCAGATTTTTTTTTTTTGTTATATAATTGGAGTTTACTAAGATTTTTTGCAACAATACAAAAAAAAGAAGAGAACTGTAATTTAGAGAATACAAGACACTGTATTGTACAACAATTCACTTAAAAGTGCAAGAAATCCGGGTGGACAGCCAAGAAGTAGGACCCAACATATGCATGGGCACTTGTGCTAACAAAGTTGTGCATGGGTTAAGGAAAGCAGTAACAATGTATGAAAGTCAGTTGGGCAACCAATGTACGAGGAAAGACAGCCACAGATTTAATGTGTAACCATTGACAATTATTTTGGCTTACGTGATTTTCTCACCTCCTTGACGACACTTGGCGGGCCCACTTCTCCGGCATGGACTGTTCTGTGTATCCCACACCGTAGAGCTTCCTACAAGCAATTCAGTAATCTGGTCAGAAAAATTAGGACACAAGATACACACATACCATATACAATATATCGATAGAGAAGAGAGACAGCAGCGCCACTCTAAGTGTAGACAGTTAAAATCAGGCAGATTTAATGGTAAAGTTGCACTCACATAGGTAGGCATGTCAAGTGATGGAGGTCCAGTGGGAGCATCAGGTGCTCTGGCCACGCTCTGGGTGTTTTCCCGTCGTTCTGATGATGTCCAGGGCTCGGGGAGTAGCAGAGGGGTGCAAGGAGGCTTGCAGGGATGAAGTCACCACAGGGACTGGGTTTCCAAGGTGGCCTGTGATTGGAACATGCTCACTCCATCAGGCCAATCCCAGAGCGCAGCCAAAGGGCCTAATGGTCCTACTGGACCTCCATCACTTGACATGCCTACCTTGTTACCCATCTATGTGAGTGCAATGTTACCATTAAATCTGCCTGATTTTAACTATCTACACTTAGAGTGGCGCTGCTGTCTCTCTTCTCTACCTGCATTAGGGGTATCTACAAGCTCTAACAGCCTTCTGCCTCCTCGGACAAGTCCATACTACTACAAGCCCCCCCATTACAGATGGACTTGGCCACCATCTCCACATGGACCTTCTACTAACCCCCATTGATGATGATCCATCCCCAAATGCACACAGGGTAGATGCGTCTTAGTGCTCCCTCCCCCCACTCACCTCTGTATATACAGTATATCAACTGCATGGGAGCTATAGATATGTTAGCTTTGTAAAGATCATCCACACACATTAAATCACGTAATGGGTCATTTATAGTGCAGCTGTCATATACACATCATGAAGACAGCCATTGGGATCATATAGGCTGACAATCCTGATGATTCATTGAGTCCATCAATACTTAGATGCCGTGGTTACCCATAAATCACACGACAACCTATAGAAAGGGGAACCATCTACGCACTTTGTGCTCTTACAGCGGATGTGGCTTCACAGGGGTGTCCCTAATGCCAGTCTAAAAGTCTAGCAGATATATTCTATTTATACATTTATTTTTTTTGTGTCCCGAAGGAGAAAAGCACTATAACAAATATACAATTAATATATTACAGGACAATAAAGGAAAATGTTTTTATTTGTTTTGGACAGAGGGAGATGAATTAGAACCCCTGTCAGTTTTTGTTAAAAAAGCAAACAAGGGCGCACTCCCATCGTGCATTACTGTGGTACACCATGAATTTATGTAGAAAACATATAGATGTATACTCACAAACCAAAGAGAATAAAGACAGAGCAGATAAATCAGTCCAATGGAATACTAGACGCTTATAGGGATAGGCTAACACGTTTCAGGAGACAGACGCCCTTCTTCAGAGCTCTCCCAAAATGCGCTAGCCTATCCCTATAAGGGTCTGTATTCCATTGGACTGATTTATCTGCTCTGTCTTTTATTCTCTTTGGTTTGTGAGTATATATCTATATGTTTTCTACATAAATTCATGGTGTACCACAGTAATGCAAGATGGAGTGCGCCCTTGTTTGCTTTTGTTGACCAGCACCAAGATTTCCCGATCTTTGAAGGGCTGCACCTCAACATTGGCATTCAAAATTCCTTCTAGTCTGCATGAAGATTTGAACGCTGGTCTCGTTTTGCACCCTGTCAGTTTTTATTGCCATCTGTGTCCTCATTAGGGAGATCCACCCTCTCTACTTATCCCGTTTACCATCATTAAAAGCAAATCCCTACATTTTTGGCTGTCTACAGAACAGGAATTGGGGAAACCTTCCAGTATGGATACCAGTTCTGATGACAACCAGAGATTGTCACTTTGGAGGCATTTCCTCTCACTTCCTGTTTTGGCTATGGGACAGGAAGTGAAGGCAAATCTTCCCATTAGAGACACAGGTGGCAAAAATAAGGGTTATAACCCTCCCTTACTTTGGAGGATTCCATCTCGCTGTTTTGGCTATGGGACAGGAAATGAAGGGACTCTCCGCAATGGGACACAGATGGCAAAAAAAAAAAAATATATATATATATATATATATATACATACACACACACACATACATATATATACACACATACATACATACAGTGGGGATCGAAAGTTTGGGCACCCCAGCTAAATATTTGTATTAATGTGCATAAAGAAGCCAAGGAAAGATGGAAAAATCTCCCAAAATAGGCATCAAATTACAGATTAGACATTCTTATAATATGTCAACAAAAGTTAGATTTTATTTCCATCATTTACACTTTCAATATAACAGAAAACAAAAAAATGGCGCATCTGCAAAAGTTTGGGCACCCTGCAGAGTTAATATCTTGTACTGCCCCCTTTGGCAAGTATAACAGCTAGTAAACGCTTTTTGTAGCCAGCCAAGAGTCTTTCAATTCTTGTTTGAGGTATCTTGCTCATTCTTCCTTACAAAAGTCTTCGAGTTCTTTGAGATTTCTGGCCTGTCTGTCACGCACTGCTCTTTTAAGGTCTATCACTGCATAGATTTTCAATTATGTTGAGGTCAGGAGATTGTGAAGGCCATGGCAAAACCTTCAGTTTACGCAGGCTCTTGGATGTATCCTCCCCGTGGGATTTCGACGGGTTCTGTGTTTAGGATCCATTATCCATTTGTAATTCACATGCAAAGGAGTAGCCATCCTTGTCTCTTTAACTTCAGCTTTTTCACAGATGGCATCAAGTACATACCGTCCAAAATTGTGTTGACTGTGAAATCACAGCTTTTATTGAATCCATTTAGTTGAGAAATGATTGCCTTTACTCGTGAGATGTTCCCTGTGCACAAGTGAGTACACCATGGAGACACTGTACTGCCCTGCAACACAAAAAATAAAATAAAAAATAATATATAAAAAAATAAGAATAAAAAATGTAAAAAAAAAATGTTTAAATTATAATTTTGCCCAAAGCATGATTGATCCAACCCCATTGCTTAACAGTTGTTTGGACAGTCATTAAAGTGTGATAGCGGCTGAGGTTCGTGTTCGGTCTGGAGGTGGTTTTCATTAAATTCTGTGCCCCTTCTTCTCCAAAAGTACCTTTGAAGCCATCCTTTCATCAGACCCAGAGCCAAAAAAAAATTTCAATTTTAACCTCATCGGGCAACATCCCCACAGAACTTGTTTCCAACCCCATGCTTAAATGCATTTCAGGCTTGTCTATATGTCCCATCCAAAAGTCATTGCAAAGTTCAAAATGCGATGATATTTTGTTGGTGAGGATGTAGATGAGGTTTTCTTCTGATGACTCTTCCATGAAAGAGACCATATTTGTACAAAGTATCTCTTTCTAGTGGAAATAGTGTACCACAACTTCCAGTGTCTGCCAGGTCTTTCTGGAGGGATCGTGCAGTCAAACGTGGGTTTTGAATTGTTTTTCTCACAATCCTGCGAGCTGTTCTGTCTGATATTTTTCTTGGTCTTCCAGATCTTGCTTTAACTTCCACTGTTTCTGATGACTGCCATTTCTTAATTACATTCCGAACAGAGGATATTGACATCTGAAACGCTTTGCTATCTTCTTATAGCCTTCTCCAGCTTTGTGAGCGTCAACTATTTTCAGTTTCAGTTTTCTAGACAACTGCTTTAGAAGAACCCATGGTGCTGATTGTTGGGGCAAGGTCAGATGAGTCTGGCATTTAAAACCTTTGAGATTGACATCACCTGGTCTTCCCAGACGATGATGAGAACAATCCATGACACTGGCAGGTCTCAGTTGGCAAATAGGGGGCAGTGCATGCTATAAAATCTGCAGGGTGCCCAAACTTTTGCAGACGCCCATTTTTTTGTTTTCTGTTATTTTGAAAGTGTAAATGATGGAAATAAAATTACTTTTGTTGACATATTATAAGAATGTCTAATCTGTAATTTGATGCCTTTTGGAGATTTTTCCATCTTTCCTTGGCTTCTTTATGCACATTAATACAAATTTTTTAGCTGGGGTGCCCCCCCCCCCAACTTTCGATCCCACTGTGTATATATATACACACAAACACACACACATCACATATATATACACATATACATACACACACACATACATATATATTTATTTTTTTATATATCCCTCTCCCTTACACAATGTAAAATTAAAAAAAAAAACGTTTGCCTCCATCTCTTCTTTAAAAAGTCTATGTAAAGCCAAAACATTTTTAATGTGTTGGAGTATTGAAGAGCTAAAACCACCAATCAGAATTCTCATCTGACTGTCACCAGCACAGACGATACCCCACTGATAGGAGATCTCTTACTCTGGTGACACCAATTTTTTTTTGTATTTCTGCCCCTTTCTGTCTCAGTGACTATGATGACCAGGACAAATTTGTGGAATCAATCTTCCCACAGGGGGCATAGCAAATATAAGTTCATAAAGAGTGTAACTCTTTGGGGAGGGACAGCTTGGCACGCTGAGTTATGTAATAAGCAATACTCCTTTGCTCGCCATCTGACCTTTGGAACAGCACTAGTTCCATAAAACCTACACACTATTACCACAATTACTTATTTATCTGTGCTGTAAAAGTCACTAACTTGTCACCTTTAGTATATAGAGGAATTTATTGCTATCATATAAAACACAAACGTAAAAAAAAAAATGCTGGAATGTAATCTAGGCACACGAGTTGGTTTACTAAAACTGCACGGTGCAAAATCTGGTGCAGCTCTGCATAGAAACCAATCAGATTCCAAGTTTTATTGTCAAGGCTTAACTGAACAATGAGAAGTTAGAAGCTGATTGGCTGCCACGCACAGCTGTACCAGATTTTGCACTCTGCATTATTAGTAAATCTACCCCACGGAGTCATAACTATCACTTTTATTTTCCCGCAGTTTTGGTATAGGAAAGGTGTCTGTTGTCTGCAAGCAGCCATATTCTCGCTGATATAGGCTGAAAAATTACAGCTAAAATCTGATTGGTTGTTGCAGATAACACTACAACCCTATGGCGTACAGATGGCAAAATACTAAAGACTGGCATCACCACATGA